GAGTGTGTGTGTGTGTGTGTGTGTGTGCGTGTGCTTGTGTATGACACTGTATACTAAGGCTGCATTTATTTGATTAAAATATAGTAGAAAGTAATATTGTGAAATATTATAATTTAAATGTTTTCTTTTTTTAAATATACTTTAAAATGTAATTTATTCCTGTGATATTAAAGCTGAATTTTCAGCATCATTACTCCAGTCTTCAGTGTCACGTGATCCATAGAAATCATTCTAATATGCTGATTTGCTGCTCAAGAAACATTTCTGATTATTATCAATATTGAAGACTCTGGGGTTAGATTCAACTAAATTAATACTTTTATTCAGCAAGGCCGCATTAAATTGATCAAAAGTGTCAGTGAAGACATTTATAATGTTACAAAAGATTTCTATTTCAAATAAATATATTGTGAAATATTATAATTTAAATGTTTTCTTTTTTTAAATATACTTTAAAATGTAATTTATTCCTGTGATATTAAAGCTGAATTTTCAGTAGCTATTACTCCAGTCTTATTTTTGTGGAAACCATGATTTTTTTTTTCAGGATTCATTGATGAATTGAAAGATTTACGTCTTAACAGTTACTTTTGATCAATTTGATGTGTCCTTGCTGAAAAAAGTCTTTCTTTCTTTTTCTTTCTTTCTTTCGTTCTTTCTTTCTTTCTTTCACCTCATTAATAGGGCTTTACCAAGACAAGAAAGTGGCACTAACTAAACACACACACACACACACACACACACACACACACAGTTTACAGGGACTCCCTATAGGTGAAATGGTTTTTATACTGCAAAAAAAAACCTTTAGTATGTTTATTTTTAAACCATTTGGAATTGTCCTCATAATCCATGTTCATGTTGTAATACCTATGTCATTATACACATTTGTGTCCTCATATCCCATATAAACCTTTACACACACACACACACACACACACACACACACACACACATTTTATTCTTTTATTTGGATCCACAAGACAAGCTACAAAAACAGAATCCAAATACCTTGGGAAGTCAGTTTGCAAGATGACAGGTACACATGGCTAACATACATTCACAAGTCCTTATATTTATAACATTCATTCACACTCAAGGATAGACAAAACATCTTCGCTTCCATATTTGCATACTCCCTATAGTGGCTGAAACTGAACACAATTTTGCGAGTTTTTTTGCTTTCTTTTTTTGCAATCCACTCAACTGCAGTCCTTTAATCACATTCTTGTGCACATGACCTAAACTTCCAAATACTAGCGTAATTAACTTTCAATGATAGTCAAGTTGATGGATGGCTTCAACCAATGGCTGATATTTCATTAATTTGGAAAGATAGCAGGTATCCAAATACAGATCAAAACAACAGCCAACCTCAATGACAAATACAGACACACACACACACACACACACACACTACCGTTCAGAAGTTTTGGATCAGTAAGATTGTTAATGTTTTTAGATAAATTATATAATAAATTATAATAATGTATATTAAAATAGAACACCATTATTTTATTTCTTCTGCAGAACATATTTGAGAAATGTTTCAGTATTTGAGATTAATCACATTAACATTTGATTAGGAACAATACTCATTTGAAATGACAAAAACACAGCCTGTATCAAATCAAATCACAATGGAAGTTTATATCACTTGTCATGGTTTTGCAAATGTAAAAGTAACTGTACTTTGAGTGTTACAAATGTTTATGTTTTCTGTGGAGCTGAAAATCTGGAACAAATATTGTCTCCTAATGTCATTAATGTTCAGGTCTGTGAATTAAAACAATTTTAATGTGAAGAATGTTTATTAATGAGTTTCTTTCGGCTTCTGAATGGTCTACTTTACAGCTTACTGAACATTGCAGAGTATATACTGTATACTGTATGTATACTATTTTTAATAGAAAAATGCAGTATGCTTTGTTGTATACTGGGCATTTTGACAAATGTAGTAGGTCTTTCTGGAAGCCCGTTTCCACAATGGAATTAAAAGAAAAAAATGCGTGTATATATATTTTTATTTGCAGAATGGTGCAGTTACAGCATCTACCAGCACAGGGCCTGATTGCTTATGCTAGCCAGCCCAAACTTGACCTTCTAGTAGTTGCCAATCCTGTCTCATACACCAATGAGAGAGATTTTCTAATTATTGCAATCAGCAACTGGCAGCTGCATTGATGTGGAGGCAAGGCTTTAAAAAGCCACTTGGAGATTAGGGAGTGGGAATACCACATGAAGGCTGGTGGATTGAGTAGCTGGTGTTCTGATTGTTGCATTTCCCTCGTCCTTGATTTTTCTTTATCATATTTTATAATTGCTATTCTTCCTCTTTGCTCGCATACTGCTGCTGCATATGATGTGTTTGTTTTGAACTTTATGTAGCTCTGTAGTAGTAGGTGTTGTGCCACTGTGACAGTTTAAAGACAAAGCTTGACTTATTTTAATGAGCATTTATTTTCTCACTTTTTTTCATTCTTTTGTTGTGAACCACCACAGCACCTGTGCAGGTCATAATAAATGACCATTTGATGGTAAAACATGTTGAACTTTAGTAACACAAAGACTTGGTTCTTGACCTTTAAACTTTGAAAAATGTGTTTTTTTTTATGCCTAGACAAAAACAAGCTTATTTTCAGGAAAGATTTATATTTTCCAATCTCAGACATTAGCCACATCACATCAGACCAACATACCTTCATAATGGACACGCTGCTTTTATCGAATTCTTATTTAATGTGTCAGACAGGTCCATGTATTACTTCCTGTAGTCATTTTTTTTAGAGGATTTGCAGTGGCTCTTTGTCCTATTTTACATGGACACCAATTTTGAGTTTTGATTTTGAGAGATGTGTTAAGACGAGCTTTTATCGCATCTCTGAGGTTATTAAATCTAGCAAACACTGTAGTCAGAATATTCGACCATAACCCCCTGAAGCCAAAATCACATTTGGGCATTACACATTCTTCATCTATTGTTGTCTAAATTTAATAGATTGGAAAAGCTGTCACAATCTGTGGCTCCATTAGTGGCGTAATCAACATTTCAGAGCCATAAAACGCAGTTTAAGGATGTGTGAATGACAGCTAACACACTATTCGTACAATTGTAGATGTTTAAAATGTCTATGTTTTTCCTGTCACCAGCGAAAATTGAATGGTTCTGTTTTTGTCCAACCAGGTGTGAAATTACTGTTGTATTTGGCAGTGGTGTATGTGGGTTAATTTACTCTCTGTAGCTTTCAGACTCCCATAGGTCCTCTCTTACATGTGTAAAAAAATTAAAAATAATAATAAATAAAAGCATATACATCAACTGAAATACGGTTATCTAATAAGCATGTGTCCTATTCTGTGTACTAAACTCCTGAAACATTGGTGTCTTTTTGAAACATTGGTGTCTCTTTGTATATGATATGATGATAGTTTTCGTTGTAATCGTTAACATTTTCATAAGTAACTGTAATTTAATTACACATTTTTTCTTAGTAACTGTAACTGATTACAGTTACATTTATTTGGAATTAAATTACGTAACGCCGTTACATGTAACTAGTTACTCCCCAACACTGGCAAGGACACACTAAATTGATAAAAAGTGACAGTAAAGAAATTTACTTTACATAATATTGTGTCAAATGAATGCTGTTTTTAAACTTTCTTTTCATCAAAAAGTCCTAAAGAAATATCACAGTTTCCACAAAAATATTAAGCAGCATAGCAGTTTTCAACATTGATAATAATAACAAATGTTTCTTGAGCATCAAATCATCATACATTATATTTTAAAATAATGTTTCACAATATTACGGATTTTACTGTATTTTTGATCAAATAACTACAGTCTTGGTTACAGTGTATATGTTGTAGTGTATATGTAATACAGTAAAATATCATATTATAACATACTTGTCTACAGGTTTGTCTTCAAATTAGATTTGAATTAGCTTTTGTTAGTTTTCACAGTTTCAATATAGCTTTTATTTTAGTTTAAGTATTTCAGGGCTCCCAAAGACTTGTATCACTTAAAGTTTAAGAGAATTACATTTCTCCGCACATTTTAGTGTTATTGCTAGTGACATTTTCATGCTTAATGCAGACAAGTCGTGATAGTTTTATAATACACCATATATCAGAAATCACAAAAAAATGTATTTGTGGCCATGAATCTGAATGCTAACAGATAGCTTTCTCAGCGTATTAGACCCACTTGGTCTTTCCAGTCAAACACTCACACAAACACATGCAGGGCACGTCCTGCACAGTGCTGTTACGCAATAAATCAAAATCTGCAGCAGGTTCAAAGCCACATCCACCCATATCCTCAAATACTAGAGCGGATAAAGGAGGTCCTGTTTCAGATCAGTAGCGTGGTATTTGTTTTCTTCCTGAATGTTGCCTTTGTGGTGCTTCTATTATGAATGCTTGACACAATAATACTCAGCATACTGTAAATGCCTCCGATATCAATCTGTGTGGATTGTGTATTGAGATTTCCATTCGGTTGCGTGTTCCTACTGGCGGTATCCCCGGGGAGAGTAAGTCGATTGCAGGGGGTCCCCAGGGCATGAGCTCCAAGCCTCCGGCGCAAGAACAGATTAAGTCCAAGATGGAATTTCTGATTTGTTTACTCTGTCTTTTTTTTTTCTGTTCCGCAAGTGCAAAAGTCCTTACTGTTGTTCCTGTCCTCAGCATTGCTCCAGGCTATTTAATGCTGCAAAGTGCATTTCAGAACTTTTTATTGGGCATCATTTTTGTTTGTTTCATGTTTAGCAATGAAAGACGTTGTTGGCAAGTGTTGCTGATAAACATAGAAGCATCTGCTCTTTTAATAATAACTGAAAGCACTTTCACAGATGAACTAAAAGTTTTTATTTTCATAGATTAAAAAACATGTTAAGCTATTTATGTTTAACTACTATTTTAATCTGCAGAGTAAACCAACTAAAATTCCAGTAAACAACTCATAGTAGTATTTTCTCTGTTCCATACTCTAGCCAACTGAGCTGCCAACCTAGGCTGTGCTTTGAGGCATCATAAGCACATTCCCGACACCAGGTAAGCAACTTTAATGACCTTATTTTGGCCAAATTCAAAGGCAGCACCTCATTCATTCTTAATTGAGAAGGTAGTCCCATAATGCACTGTGACAAACTGAATGAATACGTTCATCTAAGATGGAGAATGATACTGTATGTTGTTCTATTAAGATTTCATACAGTATGGTTAAGCATTAATTGAAAAAAGTGTGTTTTATCCAATAGGCCTATTTGTGTGTGTTAACTAGTTTTATGCTGGAATATTGTTTTGTTAGCTTAGCGATGAGCTAACTCCACAGCAGCCATACAGAAAATCATAATGTTAATGTTTATAGTAATAGCTTAATAAATTCATGCCTTATAGTCACATTTAACAGATTAGAGCTGGGTAACAATGGTTTACATTTAGAGATGATACACGCAATAGAGATATGCAATATAGAATATACCTATGCAAATATTCTGCATGTATGTATGCAGATAAACTTGGACATATGTACTGTATATATCCAATATTATCTGCTGGTCAAGCTGTTCAGATTTGCTATATACAGTATGTATACTGCTTTACTTGAATGTACTGTATGCAGGTAAATATGGATATATTTGTGTGTAGAGTGGTCCAAATCAGTCATTTATGAGGTTCTGTTTCAATTAGTATGTAGCAGACAGCAAGGCAGTGCACCAGTTTTTGAAATGGAACCACTGTTGGTTTGTAAGCTTTAAAACCAGCCACGCTAGTGCTTTACTTTGCATTATGGGAAGTCTTAAGGGCGTCAGTTTGTGTGTGAGACAGACAGAGTGAGAGGATAGTATATGAATATGTAATAAAATATTAAAGTACCTGCCGGGTAAGATGTGCTTAACGCTGTAAAGTCCTTTAAAATGAATGGAACTGCCAAACGCAAGTTCTGACTGCATTTATTTGTGCGCCCTCAACTAGGAGAGACAATGCGTAAATGGTAATGTTCCTCAAGCACAGACGCCAGACCGAGAGGTAGACTTGCTTAATAGAGATACATGCAGTCATGCCGTAATTGGTCCTTTTCAAGCTGACAGGCAATGGCTATCGTGAGGGCTTAGAGCAGCGACATGTAATCATCTGCTGGATAAAAACGTTCAGATTAAAGCACTCTGTAATTCTGTATCGGGCCAGTGTTACAATGTGATAAAGAGGGTTTTGGCAGCAAATGGTTTATTACATAAATTGTGGTAAATGATCCATCTGTTTGTCCCCCCCCCCGTCCTCTATTGTAGCATCTCGTGAGCACGGCTGGCGCACTCAACTCAAGCATTCGATTATTTTCCCGGCTCAAATGGACAGCCAGCAGGTGACAACCAATATGAAAGTAACCCACTGTGTCATGACGTTTCAGATTGTTAGGTGGGCCAGTATTTGGTTGGGCTTTAATGCTCAAGAGGGTTTGGCAACATTCTAGTCCTGTGGTGCTGACGAAATTAAGGGATCGTTCATTTGATACATTTAATCTCTGTATTGCGTGTATTGAGCAATTTCTTGAGGTTTTTTTTATGAAAATGGGCATGCATTTTTAGTCATTATACAATGATATCCTAATTTTAGTGTTCATGTACTCGTAAAAGAACTAGGGAGGCCGTTTCTGTCTAAAAGAAAATGAATGGAGCATGTTTTATTTCCTCAATATAGTTGGCGTCCTTGCACTGAATGTATGTGGTCAGCTGAATTGCAAATGAGTTTGAATAAAATCACAGAGGAGGTGAAGGTCTGAGGCTATATAACCAAAATGAGTCATAAAGGCAGAAGTATCCCGGCAGCTTAGATGTTGATATGGTCAGAACTCACAGGTTAATAGGATGGGACTATGCACTAGATTAGGACCATTTAGCTTTTAACTGCGGTTGTCTCTGCGCCTCTTCCTGAAATAAATCACATCAGTTGAAATTCATCATTGTAGGTGGAAACCATGACTAAGGGAGAGAAAAACGGGAAAAAACAAGCAAGTGCAGACCCCTGCAAAATGCAATTTTATGAGCGCTCTGCCACATTCTATTGCTTTGTCACATTACAACTAAAGTGATTCGGCTGAATCAGGATGCAATCACCACAGCAGGTAGACAGCAGAGGCCTCACCGGCCTGACCTGCCACGGAAAACCCAAGTGAACCAATGGCCAAGCGTCATCACATATAGAATTGGCACAGAGACTTCGGGTTTCTCGCTACACATTCATCATCATGAAACCGCTCTGGTTCGGTGCTCCAGGGTCGCATGTGCCTTTTCTGGTACCCAGCGCATGCTGTGACATATTGACTGTGACATTGCAACCTTTTGTGCAGAAATTTCCAGATAAACTTTTCGAGGAGAGGAAGGTCTGGAGGAGTGGATGGGAAAAAGTAATCTGCTTAGACGACGGATGGAAAACAGGAAGCGTCAGCTTTAATTCTTCTTCATTGTGGGTGGAGGTGTTTGTGGTGCTGAAAACACTATTACACACTACATTCGCACAGAAGCAGAATACACTTGCCAGTCCTGTTTGATGAATTCAATTCTCTTGTTCACACACACCTGTTATGAACAAGAGCAACAACTGTATTGTATAACTCAAAGACTCTCTTAAATTGTCAGGACTTAAGAGGGAGTTTGATTAGCCTCTGCTGTGTGAATGGAGCCAAACCAGACAACACGTTGTCTGTCAAGTCATACAGTGTGATTGTTGAGTGCTGCGTTTTTTTCATATGTTATTTTATTTTATTAAATTTTTTAAAATAATGCTATTAAAGCTGCTTTTGATTAATAAAGATCCACACTAGACATCTAGGTCAAGTCAGTCACTGTTATGCAAATTTGAAACCACTATTTCGTGGTGATCATAGACGCAGCTCAAAGGCTCCTTACCAGTGGCCCTCCCTCACAAAACATGTTTTATCAGAATCAGTTTTATTTAAAATGTAAAATATTTCAAAACAAGCAGTCAAATATAATTGATGCAATATGTCAAACCTTTTTACCCGTGGCGGGGAAAAAATCAACCCATGGCAACAGTTTAGAAATAGCCCAATCCTGCAGGAAAAACATGGACTATGCAACCCTGGTGCCAAATGTGATAAGTTGTAGTAAATATGGTGGTCAGTCCCAAAAGAAAAAGGTTGAACTTTTAACACTTTTCAGTCTCTTCCTCATTTGCCCACCATTAAATGCAGTCTTTTGATTAAATGAACTCCTTTTGATTCTATCTTTTACAAAGTTCCACCTTCTCTGAGTAATAACAGCTGAAGGTTATAATTCCTTCATTGCATATTCCACTGTTGAAAAACAATTACAGATACTGTAACATTGAACTTATGACCAGGCTTCAGTTGTGGATTCATGCTGATAACTCATGAATTGACGGTCTCCAACTTGTTCTGTCACATGCATGTAATTTACTGGAAAATATTTAATTTTAGATTGAAAGTTCAGGTGAATTTAGGCTCCAAAAAGACTGTTTTGCCAAGTCCCTTGCATGAGGGCAAATACAGCAAAAGAGGATTGTGCATGGGAGCAGTGGCGTATCATACATCTTAGAGGCCCCCACGCAAAGAACGAGATGGGGCCCTTCCCACCAGCAGTGATATCATGTATACGAAAACTTATTGTGCACCTGCTGCAATTATACTACTGAATCCGTCTCTCCCATTTACATAACTGATTTATCAGTAATGAATGTGGTGAATTATCATTGCATTGATGCATTTCATGTAGGCTAATGGCCTGGGCTGTGTTTCCCAAAAGCTTCGTAAGCCTAAGAAGTTCGTAAAAACGATCATACGACTGATCTTAATATTACTGTCTGTTTCCCAAAAGCAACGTAACTTAAGTAGCACTTGAAAATCATCGTAGATCTACGAGTGCTCTGGAGAATAAAAGAAAAAACTGTAGGAAATAAGCTTCAAAGACTGGGGGGCGGCGGGGCGGGGTTCTGTCAATGTCTTAGTATAATATATTAGTATATTATATATTATTATGTAAAGTATAATATATATATT